GTGTGTTGATTTGCATTATTAATTGAGACTCCCATTTTTCTCTTTCTTACCTTAGTGTTCCAAAGAGAACTTACCCTGAAGATATATTTTCATATTACCTTTATTGCCACCAATCAGTCTATAGCATTATATACAGTTTTGGTCAATGAAAATGGATAGTTTTTATATTTTATGTCACAAAGACGGAAGCCCAAGATCTGAAAAAGCTCAGTTATGCCTCTTTGAAGTGTTGATAGGAGTTCAAGTTGACAGCCTTTTTGGTGACCAACTTGGCATTATGGATTATGAACCTTAAGATGCTCATACGTGGGGAATTTGGAGTTGAATTTCAGGAAACCGTCTTAGGAAACAGCCTAATCAGTGGACAAAGCAGGGTGCAAAAAGACATTTGTCCTTTAATTCTTAGTAGCATAAGACAGGAAACCACCTAAGTGTTCCAAATTTGGGGAAAGGAATGTGTAAGACAGTGGGTGTATTGCCATCAATAGAATATAATGCAGCCAGTGAAAATGGTATTTACGGAGACCTTTTAGTGACACAGGAAAATGTTAATACTGTAAGTTAAGAAAAACCAAGATCTTATGTTTTATGTTGATTATGAAAAAAATTATTCACAGAGAAAAAAAAAAATTGTGGGGAATTCACCAAAATGTGAAGCGTTGTTGTTAACTGCTGTCCAGCCAGCCGTGACTCATGGCGGTTCTGTGCGTGTCAGAGAAGAACTGTACTTTGGAGCGTTTTCAGTGGAAGATTTTCTGAACGTACATCACCAGGCCTTTCTTCCAAGGCACTTCTGGGTGAACTCAAACTGCCACCCTTTCGGTTAGCAGCCTAGCGCTTAACCACTTGCGCCGCCCAGGGACTCGAAAATGTTAATAAAGATTCTATTTATATAATGTATTTTTAATGTCAACCCTAAAATATTAATAACTTCAGATATCCCTTCCTTCCCTCAATAAGCTTTTGTGGATCTATTGGAAATAGGTCTGTGGTTTCAGTAAATTCATAGTTTGGCATAATCTACCTTTTAGAGTTAAGGCATTCTGATTTTTCACTCATTTCTTAATTTCTATTGTTATTACGAACTATTATGAGCTGCTGTGCTGTTATTATGAACTATATGGTCTGTATAAAAGATGGTACCTAATGAATTTTACAGTTTAAATAGTAATAAAAATGTCACCCCAGGTGCCTGCCCCGAGTTCAGGAAATAAAACATTGCTTATACAGCAGAGCCTCTGCGTGTCTCTTCCCAGGCTCCTTTCTCTTCCGCCCCCACGCCCACACCTATGGGTAACTTTTATCTGAATTTTGTATTAATTACTCCATTGCTCTTCTCCAGAGTATTACCAATTTTTTTTTTTTTTTT